GATTTCGCATGTTTAGTGAGTTTTTCCTGAAGGATAGCTTATAGAAAAAGTTTCCGAACCGTTTGACAAAGCCTCTCGAAGGTATGAATCTTTCAAAATATCCATGTTTGAACAAAGTTTCAGATCAAAATCCATAAATATAGTGTTACTTGAAAACTGTGGCCCTCCAGAAAAAAACTACTAAAATATTCGATATCTTAGTACCAAAGATCCAACAACTTGATTAACTCTATAATATTTTCCTACTCACTAGACTCTTTCACTTGAAAATACTTCTCGCTTAGAAACGATGTATAAATTGGGAACTATCCCTCCTTAATTTAGTTTTGTTTTCTATATAGAACTCTTCCATTATGGATAACTTGTACATGTGTTCTACCAGATATGAATTGTTTTGCTATAGCAACAACAGAATGTGATTTTATTTTTTATGATATAAATTCACATACATATACAGATTCTATTATAATAAATCATTTTCCAGCTAGTTTAACAATCATTGATTATCATATGAATATAAAAAACTCTTCTCAATCAACAATTCTTTGTGGAGATTCATTAGGAAATTTATTTATATTTCAAGCTAAAGATCCATATAGACGCAATGTTTCATATATCTGATTTAACACATTATATGAAAACAGATTCAAGAAGAAATTATTCATTTCCACGAATTGTTAATAATGAATATTTAACAGTATCAGTGATTAGTTTTTGTAATTTACATAATGATTGGATTGTTCAAATTAAATGGATTGATGATCTAGATTTCTTTGTATCATGTGCATTAACATCAACACGAAATTTATATATTGGAGATTTAAATAAAAAAATGGAAAAATATGCTGTAACGAAGAAAGGTTTTGCTGTTTTTGATTATTGTAAGGTATTGAATAAAAATATTTGCTTCTCTTACATGGATAAAGAAGAATAAAAGACAAAAAGTATAATAATAAAACTGAAAATTCACTAAAAATATCAAAGAATGGAATAGATGTTTTTTCTAAATTGTATTACGAAGATTGAAATCAATTTTTTAGAAGTCTTATTAACGTTCAAAATATTCGGCAAAGAATCCAATCCATAAATATAAGTTCCGAGATTCGAAAACTATCCAACCAATTGAGACAGCGTTGGATGCTTCAATAATTACCCAAACGTTTCTTGAAAGTACATAGGCAATCACAAAAGCATCTTAGTTTTTGGATTATTTATTCCGCTGTGTATAGATTTACTACCCAGGTCAAACAATCAGGCAGTAAGATCTTACAAGATCGCACCTCTGATCTTGTACAATTTCGTAAGATCAGATGAAAATTGTACAGAAAATCGTCGTCTAAGAATTTTGTTGCTCCGTCGTACTACAAGATTCTTGAAAGACCCTGTTACCGTGTAAGATCTTTCATAAATCTAATAGTATGATCTGATGCAAGACTTCTTAGACTACGATTTTTTGTCAGATTCTTGTAAGATTTCGTCCAGATTGCAAGAGCTTACGTCAGATTTTCCGACCTGAGTGTATCTGTTTAATGGTTAGTCATATGTATGCGTATTTTTTTTAAATTAAAAAGGCTCATCGATCAATAGTCACTGGTAGTAATGATGGTGTCATTCGTTTTTGGGATCCATTTGTTACAGAACGAGCTGCTGCTATATTACGTGGACATAATTCTTCTGTTACTCATTTAGTTGTCGATAATCGAGAAAATCATATAATTCGTATTGATAAAGGAAAAAGTAAGATATTTTTTGTTATTTTGAAATCTCAAATCCTAAATTAATTTAGATATTATTATTTGGGATGTTCAAACATTAAAAACAATTCAACGTATATCACATACAATTTTTGATTTATCTGGACAAGATTTAACAATATGTTATTTAAATCCAACTCAACAACGTTTAATTATAGGCAACAGAAAACTTCTTTCATTATCACATATAAATGAATCATATATTCATCATGAACGAACATCACATATATATTCAATAACAAAAATATTATATAATCCTTTATTTGATGTTATTATATCATGTGATGAAGGTTCAACTATAAATATATGGAATATAAGAACAGGTGAAAAAATAATGCATATATTAAATGCACATGTTACACAATTTGATGAATATAATGAACATGCTGTAGAAATAACAACAATGTGCTTAGATGAATCTAAACGTCGTTTAATAACAGGTGCACATGATAGTTCGTTAGCATTATGGAATTTTAATAATGGTCATAATCTTTATCGTGTTAATTCAAATGAAATACATGTAAAAGAAATAACAACGTTATTACATGAAAATGAACGTTTATTTGTTGCCGGTTGGTCAAGACGAATTCAAGTATTTCATTTTGGTAAATCAGTTGTTATTCGACAAGGTTTGTATGAAATTTCGAACGAATGATTAATATACATTTCGGATAATAGTGATTTTTACTTTGAACAATACGATGTATAGTTTCTGAAGTAATATGCTTTGAATGGTCATATAAACATAGTCCGCGTCTATCTAACGTTAATTTATAGCTATTTATCATTTCCAATTGTATAAAATGACAGTGTACAGATCTATTTTTTGACCGTCTCGTTTATCTGCTCTCATTAAAACCTATGCAATACTCTACGTAAATCTTTCTATACTATGAAAAGTCTTACTTTATAAACAAAATTCGTACATAGAGATTAACATGTACTAACTATACTTACTTAGTTGTCTAAATATAAATATATAGAGCTCTAGTATAATATGTTTTCTTGAATAAACATTAAAACTTGAATAGAATTGTATTTTAACCTCAACAAACCGTTCAGAGTATCATATGGGTATGGTTCACGTACGAGGAAGCCTCTTCAGATTTCCATGGTGTCTTCTCTTTAGCTACTAAATAGTGCTCTAATAAAAACTATACTAGGACTTTGATTCATATTGAGATTTGACTAGGCTATCGAGTTTTCAATATGTCTATTTTTTCGAGGCTCAGGTTTTCGGAAAACTCGTATTTTCAAACTTTGATTTGCAACTTCTCAAATGTTCGAAACTCATCTGAATTGGTTTCCATAAAAAATGCAAAAATTTTCTACAAAGTCGCTTCAAAATATCAGACTTTCCAGATACAAACTCTTTTCTATGGATAGTGTATACAACAGGTATCTTTTAAAAGCAGCTTTATATCACGAAGAGGCTTTGTTCAAAACTTGTGAGTTCTCTATATGAACAAAGTTCCAGATGAATATTCAAAAATACGACTTGTCTGAAAATCTGAAGCCTCTAAGAAATAGGCATATTAAAAATTCGATAGTTTAGTCAAATCTCAAAAAGAATCTAAATCCTTCTAGAGCTTTTATTAGGACACTATGCAGTATCTACAGCCAAAAAATCGTTGAAATCGAAAGGAGGAATACGAAGAAATTCTTTCATTACCAAAAATAAATAAGATAATCATGGTTTATTCTTTGTAGATCATTAAAAATTGTCTAACGATGACTCTATAATGTTTCTTTAATTCAGTATAAAATAAGTATGAAAATATCGAAAAACTGACGGTCTGGACGATGGCTATTTCAGCTAGAGTGCAAATGATGTTTGTAACCATTAATGGTTATTAGCCTATATATCCATTGTACACGATGCGCTGTAAACGATCATCTTAATAAGGAAATTATAGAAATCATCCAACACTAATATCTTCTTTGCATGCTTTAGAACAGAGTATAGTGATTCAAACTTCTAGAGTTATGTCTTTTTTTCTCATCTCAATGGTAATTGAACAACAGAAAATCTATCATTTTGAATAGTATTCCCCCATTACCAAAACAGTATTCGATCAACAAGAACTAAAATATTTTATTTTTATTTTTAATTTAATTAGTTGATGAATTTCGATCATTACATAACGATGATATCTTATCGATGAGAATAATGATGAATATTCTAGCTACTGGTAACATAAAAAAAAAGTATTCGAAATCATCTCTTTTTTTCGATAATTAATCTTTAGCAAGTTATGATGGTGATATTATTTTATGGACTATTGAAACAGGAATGTCATTTATGAAATTAAATTCAGTTCAAGATGTTAAACCAAAACTGATATCACTCTCATGGCTTTATAAACAAACGGTATGTTTTCTAAGAGAATAATTTTATTTAATAAATAAATTTAGACAAAAGGTGCTATTCAAGCTAATTTTCCAAAATATTTTTCTCGTCGAAGAATTAAAAAATTTAAAAGA